CACTACATATGAGAGACAATTTTTTCGCTCAATTATGAGTCCATTTATCTTGTATCAAAAAACACTACATATGACAGACGAAATTTGACTGGTCAATTATTAGTTTGTTTATCTTCTTATACCTAAAAGCACTAAATATGTAAGAGAAATACCCCCCATAATTATTAGTCCACTTATGTAGTTTACCTAAAGCAACTACACATAAGAGGAGGAAGTTTTTCCCGTTTAAATATTAGCTCATTTATCTTCTCTTCTTATACCTAAAATTATCTTATACCTAAAATTATTATGTACGAAATAGAAAATTATCTCGCTCATTTATTAGTTCACTTGTTTTAAATCAAAAAACACTACATATGAGAGAGAAAATTATTGCATCCTCTTTGACCTTTGCGGGGATTTAATGATATCCATTCAAATGTAAGAAGTATGTGGGTAGTGAAGGGTAGTTAGGACATTTAATGTAAAAGGTGTTGCCTAAAAAGCATACATAAAGGAGTAAATGCGACATCCCAAAAAGGAAAGTGTAAAGATTTAAATGAGACGGAGAGAGTATATTTTTGTAAAAATTGGAATAATGAAAATGTTACAACATTTTAGAGAAAAACGAAATTTTCAATAATGTGTAATTGATGTTACGTTTGTGTAGAGAAGATAAAATAATTGATGTTACGTTTGTGTAGAGAATATCAAAATAGGTTAAATCACAAATTAATTATATTTCTAAGAATTTTTGATTTTTTTTCGAATTTATTATGAATTAAACATTTAATTATGGCTTTTGACTATTTTTAATTCATATTTAATGGAATGGTAAGAATGGAATGCAAAAATAGGTATGTTTCCAATAGTACTCATATGGTCCTATTTTGGAATAAAAACATAGCAAGTCCTATTTTAGGTTTTTGTCATAGTTTTAGTCCTATTTGAACTAATTTCTAATACAATTAAGAAGATGCTCGACTCAAACATTTTTGGGGTATATAAATTAATTTGTTACGTCCTCCTATCCATCCCAATTTAAGTTGCTCATTTAACTTTTTTGGGCATCCCAGTTATGCTTCACATTTCAATTTTAGAAAATAATTAACACTTTTGATTGAATGATAAATTAATAATAAAATATAAAAAATAATACATTTATAATATCACAAATTCATATATTTGTCAAAATTATTTTTGCAAATATACTCAAATTAGCTTATTGGGTAAATAATGTAACAATTAAAAACAATTATCAATCACGTGGAGTAGTGATTGATAATGGACAATGGAAGATCAATTAGAGTGACACCAAGGATACGGCCTCCTGAACCATCGCCATGGGTTGTACGAGATGCTAGAGTCCGTAGAAGTTTTCCTATTAGTTATTTTTATTCTGTCATTTGGCTTCTTGTTATCGTCTATATTATTAGGTTTGTGAGTTTATTTGGTAATTCAGCTTTTTTATGTCATTGAATATATTTGGATCTATGAGAGCATGTATGGCTGTGTCAAGCCCGCTACATGGCTATTTAGTTAGTGTCAGTTTTGTTTTTTCTTTGATTGATGTAATGATCTTGAAATTTATGATATGAAAGAAGGCTAGTGGACGATCAAAAAATCACGCGGAGTAGTATATCAAGCATGTAAAACAACTGAAATCTCAGTTCAATAAATCAAAAACTGTGGAAGTATTTGTCACAACCAATTGAGTTGTCCGTGAAAACTCAAAATATAACATAGCCACACTAATGAAAGTCGACAATATAGTAGGGCAACAAGTGGGAAAGCTAGCCTTAATGTCATCGGTCAGGCTACCTAATTATATGATCATAAAATTTATAAATTATATACAAATATAATAACTAAAATCATTGCTCAATGTTTGCCATCATTGACCAAGAAAAGTCAATTTGGCCAAACTTTTCGGGACGGAGGTAGTACAAGCTAGTCAACCCTATTACATATACCCTTGATAATTGCTCCTTGTATCTTGAATATCCCTTTTATTGATTCCTTCTTGAAAGAAAAGAAAAAAATAGTTTTGTAGGGGCGGGTGTAGCCAAGTAGATTAAGGCGCGCGGTGGATTATGAATCTACTATGCACAACACTAATCACTCGCTAAGAATGAAGTTACACAAAACTGGAAAGTAGAAGTATGAGTTATAAGAAAATTCTCTGTTTTTTCCCTGAAGAGTGAAGAATAAGATGTACATAAAACTAGCAAATGGAAGGGCTATCCTCAAAATAAGGCTCACATGTATTGACATAGGTTAGGTATAGAAAGCTGGCAATGAGCAGGGCCGGTCCTGTCCATTTCTGGGCCTATGGGCGGTATGCTATTTTGGGTCTATATCCATGACAAACAGTAAATCATATGTGTGCAATGAAGTTCATAAAATAAAGATGAGAATGACTTTATTATTATATAAGTTACATATTTGGGCAAAAGTAACTAAACGAGTATTGAATAAAAAGAAAAAAACATTACTTAAAAACGTTTCTCGTAAACCAATGTGAAGCAAATCATTAATAATTGCTTCATAGGAAACCTTCTTTCCACTAATAAATACGACGAACAATAAAATTGACATTGTTGAAGTTTAATCTCGTAGATCCGAAAGCCCAACACAGACTTTGAATATATCAGGAAATGGACAATAATTTGATATGTAAAAGAAATATAAAAGATCGATAATCGAATGCTCAAAAGTCCACTTGTATTAATTGACCTGTTTGATTACAAGGAAATTACTTGAACGGTACTTCGGATTAATGCTTAATACAAGAAACAGGAGTAATAAGGCTATTCTAGGGCTTGAGTATTAAAATGCTAACCCTTACAATGATATTAAACCTTCTATTTATACTAATGGAGAGTATGGGACGCTTTATGCTGATTGGCCGATGTTCCACCGACTTGATCACACATGCCTCCACTTGATGATGTCACAATCTGGCATTAATTGCACCTGGCCACCTGCTGGTTGTCCGTTGCCCGAACGGGATAATGGGCCCTGTAAAACATTGTTGATTTGGCCCAAGTATGATGTATGACCCGAACCCCGTTCGGTATGTCTGTTTTCTGGACCAGCCTTTACTTGGCCCGAATCTCGTTCAGTATGAATATCTCACTGGGCCTACTTATCATAGGGTAGTGGACTCGTTGTTTGGGCTGGATGTCCTGGACCTTTAATCCGGGTATTGGGCCTCCAGGTCAATATCCAAACAGTCATATATAACAACAATAAACTTTCTTTTGAAAGGATAAATCAAAAGAAATATTACCACATATTGAATTCATAAGTTGAGAATAATTTATTGACCGCTGATAAGAGTCTAAAGTTTGAAGTCTCGAAAAATGAAGGTTTTTAAAGAGAAAATGTTTGGCTGCCAAGAGGACTCGCACAAGAACAATGCAATTTTGACGTCCTCTAAAACTACTATTAGGAACTTAGATATAGCTTATTGGAATTTGGAAACAAATGAATAATTGGGGTGAAATTTGAGAGAAACGGGCTCTAAAATATTTATATAAATTTGTTATGTTATAATTAAATTGAATCAAAAACCTTAAAAGCTAAAAAGATGTGCCTTTTATTTATGCAGCAACAATTATATTGCTTTTAAAAACTACAACTGATCTTGTTAAAAATTAATGTATATATTCTATTTTAAACTTGTCTCTGTTTAAGACACTTTATTTATATTTTAAACTTTCAAATTGTCAACAAAAGTAATCATTAGGCCTAATTAATTGAACTTAAGAATAATAAAAGAAGCCTACTCACATTATACATCAAGAAAAAAATTTGGGCTTATTTCTTCTATTTTTTCGGGTCGAGGGTGGTCGCCCCTCTTGTCCCCTGGCAATGAGTTGATAGATGAGAGTAAAAGGGGTGGAACTATGAGATATATTTTGAAGGACCAAATCAGATTTAGGGCAACACATAATTAACGATATTTCTCTACTATTGACTTTATTAATGATAAATTTCAAATGTGTAAGACACCTAGCACAAATGAATTTTTGTAATGATTTTACTTGAACTTATTATAGACCGGAACAAATTTTACAATTATAAAATACACATTGACCAGATGTTGATCATATCAGTTCAAACCAAATTTAAACGGATCAAATTAGAAAATTTTAAGCCAATTAAATTTTGCATGCAATCATTTTGTGTCTGAAGTTTTAACATGTAAATTATCTCATGAGTCCTTAGTTTTTTCAACGAGGCAGTTTTTTGGCTTAGACTCGAACATATACAAAAAGGCTCATCATTCGGCAAACACAGAAGTGATACTCCCTCCGTCCCGCTAACAATGAGACAAAAGGGAGTGACACGCAAATTAATAAAAAGTGGTTTATGTGGTTGATATTGAATTGATAAAGTAAGAATAAAGTAAGAATGATTTAGAGCCACACAAACTTTACCAAATTTGGTATGAGACAACTTTAGTGGGACGGACCGATAAGGTAAAATGGGACAATCATAGCGGGACGGAGGTAGTAGAAGTATTCCAACTTGTTTCTCTCTCTTTTCCCAACTCACAATTTCTATTTATTTGAGCCAATCATTCCTTTTTTACCCTTACGGCTACATAAAAAGTGCCTAAATGGTTAATAATTATGAGGCAAGTTCTATAAGGTGGATGTAAGCCAACCGGAAGCGTATACTATACACTCAGTTGTACGATGTCAGCCTTATAGTCGGTGGCAATTTTATAATTTTGATGAAAAATACTTATTCTCTTAAATGAGCATTGATGCAATTTTGGTGAGTATCAAACCTGTTTTATAAGTGTTAGGAGCCTACCAATGAGAATCATTGTTCTCTGCTCCTATCTTCCAATTGACTTTTGTTTTATTATTTTTCAATATGTGAATCTAATGTACTAGGATACGTTTGAAATGTGCAACATTTTAACATTTTAAAATGAACATAAAGTGGTACCAAATGAGCATTTAACACTTAGAAAATAAGTTAAAAAATTCAAAAACTCATTTGTGTATACTCATTCATTTTGAACGTTGTATTCATTTGTGTATGTTCATTCCTTTTAGGCATATACTCATTTGAGTTTAATGTAAAATTAATTTGAGAATAATAGCAACAATGATTCCTCAGCAACAAAGTAGGCCCACCTTGTCTCCTACACCACCAATTACACCGGAAAGAAAAACATAGGGAGGAGAGGTAAGTAGGGTGGGGAAAGGGGTGAGTGGTGAACTTTGGGGACGAGTTATTGGTGCAAAATCTGATCAAAGAAGCCCAACGAGATTGAAGAAGCAAGATGCGAAGTCTTGTGCGAAAACGTCTGGTGCGAAATCATGTGCGAAATCCGGTGCGAAGGTCTGGTGCGAAGCTAGTGCGAGAACAAGAAGCGCAAAAAGCCTAAAAAGCCCAGCTTTACTGTGCGCATGGTACAACTGACTGTAAGATGTAATTTGCGTAAGCCCTCCCGGATGACCTAGCCAAACCGAGTGAATGTCACTTTATAGAAATTGTATCATACATTTGAATATTTAGTTTCTTATAAAAGGACAGTATGTGAGTATGTGACTAATATTTATTTAAAAGAATTTACTTTAAAATTTAACCATTGAAACACAACAATTATACTCATAATGATTCAAGCTTGGAAAGTATGCCTCGTTCCATGAGAAGAAATTCATCTTTATGGAGAGTAATCCTGGACAAAGGGTTTGGAACAGGCAGAGTGGAGGATTTTGATATATCAACTTTTAGCGTTAAAACTTAAAATGTTTAAAGACACCCATTCCAACTTCTTTAAAGGAAAAATGAAAAACACTTTGTTTAACTTTTGAAAACACTCCCAAGCATGAAGCAGCACCAATAGATGAAATGTATAAAAGTTTAGTCAAAGTGCACCTGATGGGAACAGTACGTAGCAATGCAAATGTTTCAAATCATTTGCACAGCAGTTCTACAAACTTTTGGCACCTAAGTACTATGTTCTCTCGATTGGACTATCCAATTCACGAACCTATACTTTGGACTGAACTAGGAGTAAGACAATGATTAATTAAGCTGAACCAGAGTTGCATAGATGAAACCGATGAAAAAGCCTCCATCAGGATGCTCCATCTCTTTTGCTTTGCCAGAAAAATGGATCAGAGGGGAGGAATAAATTTCAAATGTGAGTGTAATTTCACAAGCCTATAGGGTCTTGCTCGTCTTGGTTTTCATCACCACATGGCAGTAGTGGAGAGCTTACAGCATCGAAGTAGTTCACACTACAAAGCATACCACCAGCTTCATCAGCGAAAGTAATCTTCCTATCCCTTTGATCTGTGCCCTTAGAAGTTGAATCATTTTGACTCTGTTTCTGTATTTCCTGTAGCATACAGCAACTCTATTTCAGTAAAATACATCCATCAGATAAATAATGACACTAAGTTGTGGGCAATGACTACAAAATTCAAATTTGAAGAAAAATATAACTTGCACGTAGGAACCCAAAAATGCCCCCTTCTAATCTGTATGACAGTTTAGCAGTGTAGGGGGCAATACTTACCATGAGTTTACAGAAGCGGGTGCAGTCCCTTGACATCATGGACATCCACTTTCTTGCTGTTTCCTCAACTTTCTTAGTGTTATTAATTGTGTTTCTCACCTGGAGAATTGACAAGATTATTCATCAAGGTTAAATAAAAGTAGGGTTGAATGTGTAGCTTCAATGAAAGGCTGAAATGACCAAAACATAAGTAGCAGTGACTGATACCTCATCTACTTCATTTTTCCCACAAACACTGCGATAAGCTTTGAAAAGCAACTTTTCTTCAACCACGTCTTTCATGGATTTCAACTCATACAATAGTTTCATTGCAAGAGACTCAAAATCATGCATCTGCCGCTGAGAAAATGTTATTGCACTGTTCGAACAGCTGTCAATGGAGGCCGATCCACTGCTAAGTTGAGGTAGAGATCGAGAAAACATTGGGCCATCCAAATTGCCTCTATGTGGGAATCCTTGGTGGCTATTCTTCTTAAATTTTCTCTTGATCTGCTCACGCCTTATAGTAACTCTAGGTTGGCAAGCCTGATCAGATGGCTTATAATTTTCATTTTGCCCAAGCACAGGTTTTACTGCAACAACACAGATGAAAGAAATAAGAGTTAGTCACCTAGGTTTACAATAGAAATGGAAGAACTAGCATTTAGCCTTCTGTTTGCTAACAGGCTAACAGCGAAATCAAGATCTGTTTTTTCAAGGGAAAAATAACTTGGTGTGGAAAATGTCTTCGCGGAGTTCTATGCATAATATTACGTTCCACAAAATAGACAACCTACAACTGCTTCATGAAAAATGAAGTCATTTCACAGAAGTATAACAAAATAAGGAATATGCCAAACAAAGGGAAATCTTTCTTGAAAAATGTTTTTACCCTGAACCCTAAATATTTAGTTAACTCCTGTGAATCTTGATTAGGCTGGACACCACCTTCCTCTTGCAATAGTGGGGAAGTTCTTCATCTTTATTCCTTTCCATGTTAATGCTCTTCATCTCTCAACCACAACAACAACATTACCCCAGTGCCACAAAGGTTCCCACCTATAGTGGCGTAAGAGGGGTCGGATGAACGCAGACTTACCATGTACTAAAGCACAAAGAGACTATTTCCGGATGAGCCATGATGAAAATTGCATCGCAAATAACGTGGACTGGTTGCTACTTCATGACAAAGAAGCGTAGACAATTTAGTGAGTCGTTTTGCTTTATTCTATCATATTTCCAAGCCAAAAATAGTGAGTATTTGGCTCCATTCGAAATGATTGAAATTATCTCTCAACCACACGTAACAAAAATAAGAATCACTATTCAGAATAATACTATCGTATATTCCTACAAAACAAAGTCTATAATTTGACTTAATTTTTGAAATGTGCAGAGTATGAAGTAGAGTCGGTTTGAATTATTGTTTTTTAATAACAGGAAACCATTGATAAAGGAACGAATGCTGCAAGATTTGTCTATAATGATTATCAAATTGAAATTGATCTCTATATGGTTGTTCCGATAGCAAACATTTAATAGATATTGATTTATTCTTTGAAAATAATTGCAGGTAGTGACGAATTAACTTGCCTTCACTGCCAGAAAAAATGGACTGAAGGGATATGTCAACAATAACTCAGGAGAAAATGGAAAGCTAATTATACAGAGCTAGTGCAGATGACTTACTGCCAATCTCGGCTTCATCAAAGCAATTTGCAGATTTCATTTCCCAACAAAGCCTTTTTTGGGAAGCTGGGGACATAGCCTGAGAAAATAGAGCACGGCACTTAGCTAACTTCTAAATTACAAGATGGAAAACGAGTCAAGTATAAATAAATCTAACCTTTCGCAGAGAAGGAAACCTTTGAGGAGGTTGTAGCAGTTCCGGTGAGATTTGATTTGATGGTTGAGTTTCAATGCTGGGATCTATTATTTCATCAACCATTTCTGAAGATTTATTGTCTTCCAATGTTTTCAATGTCAACAACTCATCTTGTAATACATAGGTATTCAAACAACTATTTCTTGTATCAGCAGAGGAATATTTTGGAAGCTGGATCAAAGAAGAGGCACCACCATCTTCTGGAGATTTTAAAACATGATTAGAGCTTGAGTTAGCCTGGAAACCACTGGGGGAAGTTGTTTCAATAGGGCTAGTTGTAATATCATTTTCCTGACTTGAACACATTTCTTCCCCAGCTTCAACTTCAATCAAGTGAATATCAGTCTCAGCACAGTCCAAGTCATAATTCGTTGACATTTCATTAAGATTACAACATAGTTGTTCTTCAGCAAACAACATACTCATGTTTTCTTGAACTTCAACCGCACCAGGAACTTCACCAAGTATTGACCCACTGCAACTCGATTCTTCATCGCAGTTAAAGGAGGAGCAATCAATTAAAGAATCTATGCATTGGTTCCCAGTGAAATCCTCTTCAAGAACTTCATATTTGACAGTTGGAACTAAAGAAGCTGATTCCCCATTGAGTTGTACGGTGCAATCAAGTCCAATGATATGTTCTGTTGGGTTCAATATAGCAGTTTCTGAAGAAGGATATGTGTTCCCATCGATGCATGCCCTCTTCATTTTTGATACTTTTGTTTTGAAAACACTGAGTGGAACATTGAGATCTTCATCTTCCTCTTCATCACAATTAAAGACTTCCTGTTCTCGAATAATATAAGAAAGACTCCGAAGTTTCCTTTTCTTGGTTTTGCACCTCTCCTTGACTTGTTTTAGAGTCATACCCACACATACATCGTTGTCCGAGTCACTTTCACTGCCACTGCCACTTGAAACAAACTCAATGTTTTCACTTAATATTCTGTCTGCAAATGGCAGCGGTAATTGGTTATCACTCTTGACACACTTTTCTGCAGAATTGAGAGTGAAAGAGGGTTTCAATCCTCTGCTTTCATAAATCTCATCCAGATATTTGAAATTAAGAGCTGGTTTTCCATTTCTATTGCACATCTTTACAACCAACCCATCCCTTATAGTTTCGATAAAGTGCAAAGAAGTGCCAGCTTTCCTTAGTTCCATAGTCTAACACTCCAACCAGTCAGAATCTTAACAGCTCAATTGCTCACACTGCTTTATCTGGGGAAATCTGGCATGATAAATGATAATTGAAAGGTTACTACAGGTTTCAGCTATAACCAAATGTAAACTGGTAATCAAACTTCTGAAAACCTGAAGTGAATATAAATAGTAGGCTTACTATGATGTGTACAAGAATACAATAGAACAGACTAAGAAAGAGTTACATAAATAAACTTGATCTGAATTTAGAACAGTTGAGATAGACAAGCTTCCAAACAAACAGAAGTAACAGGGTAGAATGAGAGAAAAACGAGTGAGATAAATAATAAAATCCATATGTGGAGTAATGGAATGACAAATCACTAGCCACTCTAGATAAAGGCTTACTAAAGTGAACTGAAGACTAAGAGGGATTAACACTGAAGTTAGCAATTGCTAATCGAGCAAGTCTTAGTCATGGATCTGTCGTGTGAGTATTACACCAGTTAACCAGAATTTATTGACTTAATATGCTGCTTCTGGAACTCCCCCAATTTGACTACTCCAAAGTAATTTATGCATGAGACATGAAGTGATGAAACTGGAAACCAAATTGGCGATATATCAACAATCACACATTTTATTTGTTTATAAACTAATCTTATCAAGAACAAAATTCGGTTCAGATCTACAGATCTTAACATCTTAGAGGTTTACCAACACAAAATTCTATTGCAGAATGAAACAAATCAAGTAAACGAATAACAGCAGTACTCATAACAAAACCCTAAATCGCTGCAGCAGTCGAAGTGAAAAAAATGTAATCTTGCAAAAAAAGCACCTACAGCTGAAGCTCAAGGATCTGACTGAAAAGCACGCAGTTAATTGATAGCTCCAGCTCTCAATCTGATCTTGGCGAAGATTTAGAGGAAACATTTAGCAAGAGACAGCTGAGCGGGGCTATATGTAATATGCTGACTGAAAATAAACTCGCGCCACACATTTGGCGGGAACTAGGGCTTCTGTTTTAATTTATTTAATTTAATTTAATAGAACAAGTAAAAAAAATTAAAATGAAAAACTTACGAAGTACTAGTATTACTCTCAATCTTTTCCGTACACAAGCTCTCTATGTAAAGTTTGAGCCCGTTTGGTAACACCTTTTCTCGACTTATCGGGTTTATCGATCAGTTTTTTCATTAAACATGTAGTTTTTTGTTTTCGTGCACTGAATTGTGTAATAATAAAAATAAGTAAAGTTGGAATTACTTTGTTGGCTATATTAGCTAAAGTTACTATAGATGATCATTTTAGCTATATTTTCATATAATTTTTATTTAATCTATTAATAACAAATATTCTATATATTTTGTTCCCCATAAATCAGCATAATCAGCCAATATAGCCACTTGAGACAGAACTTCATAAATTTCAGCAGAATCAGCCAATTCAGCCAATTTTAGTCTTACCAAACAAACTATAAATTGGCGTACAATATACTACGTAGTTCGGAGTATAAGAGTCTCAGTTGAATCCCTTGATTATGCTGACTTATAAAAAAAATATAAATACTATCTTCGTCCCATTGAACTTTATCAACTTTTTTCTTTTTGATTGTCCAAAAATCTTTGACACTTCCTATTAAAAAATTAATTTCTGGTTCTGCTCAATTTTCTCTCCTTTGCACAAATATCAATCACACAGTTTTTAGGTTTCTTATTTCTCACCTACTTTGAACTTGGCAAGGTCCACTCAAACAGAGGTAATAAAGATTTTTAATTGAGCAACGAGCACACAGCAATCATCCATAATAGTGTCTGGATTGGGAGCTGAAAAATAACAAAGAAAAATGTTAGTACCGAGCGGTCTTATCACGTGGGAAACAAGGAGAACGAAACGTTTCTCGCACGGGAAGGACCACCCGGCCCATGGTACTTGGTTTTTAAACAAGTAGACCCAAGAGAGCGGGCAATGCCTATCCCGGCCTTGATAAGTTGATCGGGGGTCAGATATGCTAGAATGTTGCGGATTTTGGCTTCCTCCATTGCAAAAACGTCCTTGCAAATCGTCTCAGTCAGAACCGGCTCCGGTGATTTACGATGAAAGGCATTCCACTTGTTCGGAATCAGACCGTCTGGGATGGAAACGAAGAAGAACCGATCTTTCCACCCCTTGATTGAGGTTAGATTGCCCTTAAAGAGTACATGACCCGTTCGGGCAGTTGCGGCTAAGTAGTCATGGGTCTGTTGGGGGGCTACCTTGAAAAATTGATGGAATAGTTCTAAACTCGGCTTGACCTTTACATCTACACAGCGGCAAATGAAGCCGGCCATCACCCGATAGGAGTTCGGCATTATTTGGGTCGGCACTACTTCATAGAAATTGAGAAGGGATACAAAAAAGGGGTGCAAGGGAAACCTAAGCCCATCCTTTACTGAATCTAGATGGACCACCACAATCCCAGAAAGGTTGCGCATCAGATGAAGCCCAACCCGAAGACGGAAATTAACTGGATCAGGGATTAGGGCTGGGATTTGGGCCCTATTGTGAGACGTCAATTTCTGCCTCCTTTCTCTGATTAACCTTAGATCCACCCTATAACGAGGAACATTGGCCAGAGGACCAGCCGCCATTGAAGCCAATTCATCGCCGGACATCGTGCCATCAGAATCTTCACTAGAGGTAGAATCACTTGAACGGTTTTCATCAACCACCCCTGCAGTCGTAGTACTGGCAACATCGGCAAAAGGAACTTCTATGGCATCCGGTACGGCAGCGTCATGAGTTTCCTCTCGAGAAGTGGGCCCCGAATCCGAACTAGAAGATGTTCGAGAAGACATGTGACCGAACACGAAAAAAAGGAAAAGCAAAGAACGGGGAATACCTGAACACGAAATAGCTCGAAGAATCTGAAGAGAAGGGAGAACAAGGGCTCGAAGGGAATGAGAATTCGAAACCCGTATCCAAGGAGTACAAGGCCCATTTATATCCTGGCAGGTGCCGAATCAGTAACCAATCAGAAGAAGACACGTCACCTGGACTATTTGAAAGGACACGTGGAAAAAATCATGACGTTTATGGAAAAAATCAAACGACTGCCGCAAGAAAGGTACTAGTCATGACATGGGGAACCAGCAAACTCTGGACCCGATCGCCATTCGGCATGTAAGTTCTACTTGCCAATGCACTCACTACCGTTCGAGACATCGGAAGTGGGGGACTCGTGTTGGGATATTGGGCCGCAAGCCCAATACCCGGATCTAAGGCCCAATATATCCAGTCCGTTAAACGAGACCAGAATCCAAAAGATAACAGGCTCATTGAGAAATATGTACCGAACGGGGTTCGGGTCAACCAATGTACTTGGGCCAGATCAATGATGATTCCAGCAGGGTCCACTACCCGTTCGGGCAGCGGGCAGCCAACAAGTGGCAGGGAACATTTATTGCTAAAGTATGGCGGCAGCAAGTGGGAGTATGGACTTAAAGTGGCCGGATTAGCAACCAATTAGCATGGAGCATCCCATACCCCCCATTAGTATAAATAGAAGGATTAATTTCATTGTAAAGGGTTATTTTCTTGAGACTCAAAGCCTAGAGTAGATTTATCTCTCTTATTTCTTGTATTAATCACTATTTCGACGTACTGTTCGGGAAGTTTACTGTGTAATCATCAAATTACTTAATACAAGTGGGCTTTTGAGTATTCGATTATTCATCTTTTATACTAGTATTTCTTTATACACTTGATTCTTGATCCATTTTCCTGATATATCCAAAGTTCGTGTTGGGCTTTCGGATCTGCGGGACTAAACCTCAACAGACTTTTTAAAAAGTCAATAGATTAAAAAACTCATTACAATCCATACAGAATACACTCTCTTAGATTGGCTTCAATCCAAACTAGATTATATATCGGACCAGACCAATTTTAAAATACACATGGATCAAACATCTATCAGATTATATAAGAAAAGATTATATAAGAAAAGTTCGATCCAAGTAAAATCATCTTGAATCTCAATTTCTTCTTCTTTATCAATTGACAATTAGAATTCTAATAATCTAAAACAAAAGGCTGTATTTGTATTTGATAAGCATCCAGCTCCTTTTTGAATTCTAGCTTATGTTGTGAAGTTCGTGTAATTTGTAAACTATTTTTCAAATCATTTACACCACACATTAACTTTTGTATTATTAAGAAATATACATTTGCACAAAAATGCACTAAGTATGCTACTTACATGGTTTTCACACTTCATTTATTTTGTTTATTAATATTTTGTATAATCATTTACACTAGGGATGGACTCGGGCCGGGTGGCCCGACCCGGAACCAGCCCGGGACCGGTACTGTTCCGGCCTGGCCCGAGCCGGTGGCCCGGTCAGTGACCGGTCCGGGTAGACCCGGCCCGAGAGTTTTCCGGTCCGGGCTCGGGTCACCCAAAACAAGGCCCGACCCGGTCGGGCCCGGTTCGGGCCAAAAACTATTTTTTTTATTCAATTTTTTTAAAATTTTCGGGTTGGGCGGGGTATTTTGGGCCATTTGGGGTGGTTTGGGGGGTTGGGGTGGGAGGGGGGTTAATTAGGAAGAGGAAAACAAAAAAAAATGTAATGGGCTCGGCCCGGACCTGGACCGGACCCGGTGGTTACCCGGGCCAGTCCCGGGTCCACCATTTCTGACCCACCGGCCCGCCCGGGCCTAGGCCCGGCCCGGACCCGAGTCCATCCCTAATTTACACTAATAATATAAATTTTGTATTGATAAGTTGTGTAGTATTACACTTACCCAAAATATACCATAGTTACGCAGTTTACACTGTTGTATGCAGTCATTTAAATGAAATATTTAACTTTTGTATCAATAAATAGTAGTACTACATTTACATAATAATCACATGTTTTTTATTTCTTACACAATATTCATGTATTTACATCATTTATTATGGCATTTACATAAACTATGACACGAGTTAGACAAAAGCATACCTATTTACATCATTTCTAACGTAATTACGGAATGGAGAAAACCATCATCAATACTTGAGTGGACCTCACTACAATGATGTCTTAAAACCCTCTGCTCTTCCCCACCCCTTATTCAACTTTTTAGTGGACCTCACTACTTCAAAAATGAGGCCCAGGACCAGCCATACTTCACCGCCCCTGCCCCAGTTCGAAAACTGGCCGGTCCTGGTCTTGTCTTAGGACCTTGTACACCCCTAATCCCCCACCCCCCCAGTGCCGCGGCCCGCATAGCTACCCTTCAGATCTTCACAAAACTATTGTTGCAATGTCTAGAGAAAGATTTCATGCCAGAACACTCGGTTGTCCTTGAAATTAAATATGGAGTATAACTGTATAAGAAAGTGTACAAGCGAAACTCTGATGACTTTCCTAGTTACAAAAAAGCTCTTTCAAGAACCCGATCATATCCTCATGAAAGGCTCATTCACAGTAAGGGTGCCAGTTTGCAGGACAAGAATATGTAAAGTCGTAAAATTTGGTTTTAATACATAGAAAATATAGACAACGCAAACTGCAAGAAACTGCAGCTGATTGAGGAGGAACCGTGAAAGACTTAGATGGGAATAGGCAGACCCTTCTTTGCCATGCTATCAAGAACATCATTAAGAGATTGACACAAGCCGACAATCTGCACAAGTTTTTTATAAGAACAAATGCCGGATAATTAGGTATAAGGTAACTCTTCATTGCTCATGAGGAAAACAGACAATATAGGTAGATTCTTTTAGGCTATGTTAAGAATGCTTAAATCTGTGAGGTGGGAGGGATGCCAAGGAATACATTTTGTTATTAGAGTTTGGATGTACTCTAAAAAAATGTAGGAAGAAAAAAAAAATCATACTTTTTCAAATTTGATGTATATTAAGGTTTCTTAGGGGGTGTTTGGATCTAATTTTTAAAACTGCTTCTGCTCCTCCAGGGAGCAGAAGCAGAAGCTGGAGTGTTTGGGTGAAAGTGCAGAAGTGATTC